TTTGGATTCTTTTCTCTAGTTCTGTGAAATACACTGTTGAAATTTCAATCGATATTGCATTGAATCTGTATAGCATTTTTGGTAGTATGGCCATTTTCACTATGTTGATTTTTCCTACCCAGGAGTAAGGGATATCTTTCCATTTTCTTATATCCTCTTCAATTACTTTTAAGAGTGCTGTAGTTTTCAGTGTAGAGATCTTTTGCTTCCTTCATTAGATTAATTCCTAGATACTTCATTTTTTTTGGATGCTATTTTGAAAGGAATTGTTTCCCTAATTTCTCTCTCAGTGAGTATTTTATTTGTGTATAAGAAGGCTATTGATTTCTCATTGTTGACCTTGTACCTAGCTACACTGCTGAAAGTGTCAATTAAGGGTAGAAGTCTTTTGGTGGAATTTTTGGGGTCTTCAATATAGAGTATCATATCACCAGCAAATAATGACAGTTTAACTTCTTCCTTTCCTATATTTATTGCTTTAATTTCTTTCTCTTGTCTAATTGCTGTAGCTAATGTTTCCAGAACTATGTTGAAGAGGAGTGGTGATTGTGGGCATCCTTGTCTTGTTCCTGTCTTCAACGTGAAGGTTTTCAGTTTCTGACCATTTAATATGATGTTGGCTGTTGGTTATTCATAGATAGCTTTTATTAAATTGAGACATAGACCATATATTCCAATTTTTTGCACGGTTTTATATCATGAATGGGTGTTGAATTTTGTAGAATGCTTTTTCTGCATCTACTGAGAGAACCATATGGTTTTTGTCCTTGACTCTGTTAATATAGTGCACTACATTTATTGATTTACATATGTTGAACCATCCTTACATCCAAATAAATCCATTTTGTTCAGGGTGTATGATATTCTTCATGACCTTCTGCATTCTGTTTGCCAGGATCATATCAAGGATTTTTGCATCTATATTCATTGGGAAGATTGGCCTGTAGTTCTCTTTTTTAATTGTTTCTTTCCCTGGTTTGGAAATCAAAGTAACATTTGCTTCCAAGAATGAATTTGGAAGTATTACCTCTGTTTCAATTTCATTGAAAAGTTCAAAGAGTAGTGGCAGTAGTTCTCTAAATGTCTTGTAAAATTCAGCAGTGAGTCCATCAGGTCCTGGGCTTTTCTTTGTTGGTAAACTTTTAATTACAATTTCAATTTCACTGTAATTGGGGTGTTTAGCATATTTTTATCTTCTTGATTCAACTTTGGTAATTCATAAGTTTCTAGAAATCTGTGCATTTCTTCTGTGTTTTCCATGTTATTAGAGTAGAGGTTCTCAAAGTAGGTATGCGTGATCCTCTGGATTTCTGCTGGTTCTATTCTGACTTCACCTTTTTATTCCTAATTGCATGGATCTGAGCCTTTTATTTTTTGAAAAGGTTAGCTATGGGTTTATGGATTTTATTTATTCTTTCAAAACACCAACTCTTCAATTCATTTATTTTTTCTATCATTTTGTTAGTTTTCATTGCACTGATTTCTGCTCTAATCTTTATAATTTCCTCTCTTGTATAAGCTTTGGGTTTTTCTTGCTCTTCTTTTTCTAGGAGCCCAAGATTCATCATTAGGTTGGTTATTTGAGCTCACTGTGTCTTTTGTAGTGTGGACATTCACTGCTATGAAATATCCACATAGAACTGCTTTCATTGTGTCCCATAGATTGCTGTATGTTGTATTGGCATTATCATTTATTTGTAAGAACTGTCAAATTTCTTCTTTAATTTCCTCTGTGATCCATTGATTGTTCAGGAGAGTGTTGTTCAATTTCCATGTGTTTGTGAAGGTCCTATGGTTTCTTAAGCTATTGATCTCCAGCTTGATTGCACTATCATCTAATAATATACATGGGATAACTTTGATTCCTTTGAATTTATTTAAATCTCTTCTATGAGATAGTATGTGCTCTATCTTGGAGAATGATCCATGTGCACCCAAAAAGAATGTATATTCTGTTTTTTGTGTGTCTATAGATGTATATTAAGTATAAATGTTCAAAAGCTTGGTTCAGTTCTATATTTTGTAGTTGATTTTTTGTTTTGGTGATCTATTTGTGACAGTGGAGTATTTAGGTCCTGCACTAAAATTGTATTAGTTCTTATTTGGCTTATCATGTTCCTTAATATTTGATGCATATATATTATTTTTCTTTTTTTTAATTGTGTTTATTGGTACATTTTAGGTATACAGTACAGTTATATTCATTATTGGGATCTTGTGCCATTACACGACAGGTCTTGGTTCTCATTTTTTTCCCTTGTCCCTCCCCTCCCTTCAACCCCCTTCTTCCCTCCCCATTAACAAACACTTTATTTCCATCTTTTCATTTTCTCACATTGTTTTTCCCTTATTACCCTTCCCCTACCCTTCCCACATTCCCTACACCTTTAGCCCTTTTCTTCCCATTTCACAAAATCAGTTATCTCACTAGGGTCTTATGTACTATTACAGTTTATTCACACCAGAGAAACTATTTGGTATTTATACATGTGTGACTTATTTATTTCATTTAGGAATATTTCCTCAATATGTATCCATTTTCCTATGAATGACCCTAATTTCACATTCTTTATGGCTGAGTAATATTCCATTTTATAGAACAAACACATGTTCTTTATTCAGTTTCCAACTGGACAAATGGGCTGTTTCCAAGTTGTATATTACAAACTGTGCCGCTCTATACATAGGTGCGCATATATCACTGTGATATGATTCTTTTAATTCATTTGGAAAGATACCCAGCAGAGGGATGGCTGGGTCAAATGGAACCTCTAGTCTCAGCACTTTGAGGTATCTCCATATTGATTTCCATAGTGTGCACTCCCACCAACAATGGAGAAGGGCTCCTTTCTCCCCACAACACCACCAACATTTGTTATTATTTGATTTCTTGATAGCAGCTATTCTTTGTGGGGTGAGGTGGAATCTCTGTTGTTTTCATCTGCATCTCTCGAATGACCAGTGATGCATATATATTTATGACTGTCATCTCTTCCTCTTGAATTGTTCCCTTTAGAAGGATGTAGTGACCTTATTTGTCTCTCTTAATCAGTTTTGGTTTGAAATTTACTTTGTCTATGAAGAAGAGAGCTACCCCTGTTTTTGTTTTTTTCCCTGGGCTTCTGTTGCATGGAGAACTGTTTTCCATCCTTTCACTTTTTCTATGGGCTTCTTTTTCCACTGTGTGTTTCTTATATACAACATTGTGTTGGATTTTGCTTCTTCTTCTTTTTTTTTTTTTTTTTTTTTTTTTTTTTTTTGAGACAGGGTCTCCCTATGTAGTTGAGACTGATCTGGAACTCACTAGGTAGCCCAGGCTGGTCTTGAAATCACAGCAATCCTCCTGCCTCAGCCTCCCAATTGTTGGGATTACAGGTGTGCGTTACCATGCCTGGCTTGGATTTTGCTTCTTAATCCATTCTGCCAGTCTATTTCTCTTCTTTGGTGAATTAAGGTCATGGACATTGATGGTTATAAATGACATGTACTGACTTATTATTGTCATGTTGTTGTCCCTTTCTTCACTCTTTTTACTTTTTCCCCCTCTCCCTTTAGTTTCTTGCCTTGCACATTTGATTTGCTCTATTGGGCCTCATGGCGTTGTGACCTTCATTGTCTTTTTCTAGGATATTGCTTAGAATTCCTTGTAGTGCTGGTTTGGTATTCATGAAGTTTCTCAGGTGTTCTTTCTCATGGAAGTATCTTATTTCCCCATCCATTTTGAAAGAGATGTTTTGTAGGATAAGTGAGTCTAGGTTGGAGGTTAGTTTCTTTTAGGACTTGAAATACCTCACTTCAGGCTCTCCTTGACCTGAAGGTTTGTGTTGAAAAGTCTGCTGTGATTCTTTTTTTTTAAAATTGAGTTTATTGGTACATTTTAGGCATACAGTCCAGTTGGGCTTTCCTTTGCATGTCATTTGTTTCTTTTTTTCTTACTGCTTGTAGTATTTTGTTCTTCCGATGAGTCTCTGGGATCTTGATGTAGATTTTTTTATCATGGCTAGTTGGAGTTCTATATGCCTCAATTATCTGTATGTCAAATTCTTCCCCTCTGTTTGTGAAATTTTCTGTCAAAAATTCTGTGACCAACTTTTTCAAGTCATTTGTATTTTTCTGGACAGGAGTGTTTTGAAACAATGCTCCCAGGAAAAGGCATTTTAGGCTTCATGCTTGGAAGACACAACTTGTGGCACATGCAAGATCTTTTTTTTTTTTAAGTGTCTTTTAAAATAACAGTAGCTATTTGCACTTTAAATTCCTAGAAAACCTTGTTTGCCTCTCCTACAATTCCTTAATGTTAATATATTCTTATTTTACAGGTAAAGAAATCAGCTCAGATATTAAAAGCTAGGGTCAGTGGGAGCAAAGTAAACTTGAACCCAGATATGGTGGCAACAAACACAGTTCCCTGGTCATTACTTCTGAAAGCCTAAGAGTTAAACATTTTAAGGGTAAACCCAGGTTTTTGCTGCTACAGTTATAAAGCTGACAAGAAATATAGTGTGGAATAATTCTCACTATGGAGTAGTGGTGGTACATTTCTTTACCTTAAATAAAAAAACTAAACACCAAATCTAAAAAAGTTACTTTTTGAACCTATAGGTAAAGTCATTTATCAACTTACTCCAGATTAGCTGACAAAAAACAAGGATGATGAAATCTATCTGTAGCACCTCAAAGCCAAACCAGGAAAGTTACATATTTATTTATAGAGCAGCAACAATGACACTGTTAAGAACTTAGAGGACTAAGATACACTGATAAGAGTAAATATATTTTTGAGAACATTCTATAGTATCTCCTTTATTTCAGTCTTCTACCTACTTGAAGTATATTTGAAAGGTAGAAATTCCATTATAAAGATTAAATTAGGAATTTTCACCATTATATATTTTTGAATCCACACAGGATGCTTTCGACGGCTACAAAATACAGATTTAGTCTTACAGGATAAAGACACTGGGATATTACAAAATTTACTTGAAAATATGATTCCTTACCACATGCCCACATATCCACAGGCTTCCCATAAGGATCTTTACGTAAAACTTCCGGAGACAGATATCCAGGGGTACCAGCAAATCCTAGGAAAAGCAGATGTTCAGGAGTCAGTTCTAATGACAAAATCATCATGAAGTAGGAAACTAAGAAAGAAAACTTTTAGCCAGGTGAGGTGGTGCACTCCTGTAAAACCAGCACTCAGGAGGCTGACCCAGGAGGATCACTGCGAGCTTGAGACCAGCCTGGGCACATAGTGAGTTCCAGTTCAGACTCAATTACATAGTGAGACCCTGTCTCAAAAAACAAACAAACAAACAAAAATTTTCAGGGGTTTTTCTTCTGATATGTTCTTTTTGTCAAAATAGAACAAGGAAGGTTCCCTAAGTGTTAATAAAAACTAGTTTGTCTTTGCAGCTATATCAACACTAGTCTGTCCTGTCCTCTAGCTTATTTGGAAAAACAAAACAAAACAAGATAAAACTTTTCTCCAGATACAGAGGCCAATCTATTGTGCTGAACAGTCACTGTATATATTCAAGGCCACTTTTGAATAGCAATTTTTATTGTCACTTATATGAGAATTAAAACTAAACCTGAAAAGAAAAAGATTAGAATCTCACAAAAAGTGATAGCTTTCATGATACCTAAATAACTATTATAATAAATAATCACCTATAAAATATGAGAATATAAAAAGAGATTATAAGGACAAATTTAAAGCAGATTTTTCTGTAGGGAGTTTTTAAAGTGTCTACTGGGTAAAAGGCAATGAGGGTGTGGATAAGACAAAAAGTAACTGAAGAACTCATCAGGAGAAGAAACAAGCCCAAAATATATCAAGGAGTTCAATGTGTACTAATAAATAATCAGGACATACTAGTAACTGGCAAGGAAAGAAAAGACTCAGGAACATTCAGATGAATCATTATTGAGTATGCACCAACTAGACTTTCAACTTGGGACTGGTAAGAGAAGCTAGATGTCAAAAGAAAGCTTCACATTTATATAATAAGTGTAAAATTAAAAAAAATTATACTTCAGTAAAAATCAATTTATAGCTTGAATCCAGAGTAAAATTTTCATATTTCTGAAAATATTAGTTTTTCAAATAAAAAATTATTTGAAAGCAGAAAAGATAAACTTTCTCATCTGAAAGATTTCTTGAAAAGCAGAAACAAAAACCAGGAAACTCTATTTAAAAGTTAGTATAATCAGGAATTTCTTCAATCACAAATCATTCACAAAGCATTTCATATATTTACTTTGCTTCTGTGATAAATCTAATAATTAAAATCAATATGTAAGTGCAAATAAGATATATACATCATATGGTAGTTACTTCTCTGAACAAAATTAGATCAGAAAGCAAGGCAAAGAATTTTTGCCACTTTTTTTTTAGTTGTTGTTTTGAAACAGAATCTTGCTTATGTGGTCCAGGCTGGCCTTCAATTCACAGTGTAGTCCAGCCTAGATTCAAACTTCACAGTGATGGTTTTGCCTAAGCCTCCCAAGTGCTGAAATTACAGATATACACCATCACACCTGGCTGTATGTTTTTAATTTCATCACATTTTTCTTCCTTTGTTTTGAGAAACATGACATAAAATGAGAAGGGACTCCAAGGTAAGGTCTATACATTGCAGTCTAAGCTTTACATGGATTAATCATTAGTGCACTGGAGGTTCTTAAGTCTGGAGTTTGCAGACTATGTGAAGGTATGGTGTGGAGTCCAAGCTTTTCTTGTAATGTTACACCTGCCCTACCATACACTCTACCCATTTAATGCCTTGTCACATGAGACACAAAAGGAACCCAATGAAAAATGGATGCGAAAGTTCAGCCAAATCCAACATCCCAGAGGGCACTTTCCAGCCCCTCATCAGCTGATTTCTCCTTACTCACATGTTTGGCTGTCCCTCTCAGCTCCTGGCCCATTGATCTCTCTGCACTCTCTTGACACTAAACTTTTCAATCTCACACCTGATACTATTTTTTCTTTTATTTGAATTTCTGTTTTTCTAACAGAGGGTGGCTCTAAATTAGGTTTGTCTTTGAACTTTCCTTAAGATGTCTACAGTTCTCAGTGATCCATTTTCACTCTGAATTTCAAGCACTCTTTTCTATGTCATCTATGTTCTCCTACATAAAATTAATAAGTTTTGTGTCTTAAATAACTTAAAATATATTAGCAAGACTAGGACATGTTAACGATAGCCTCCTTAGAGAAGATAGAGAAGTCACTACATGTAAGAAACAAAATGATCACTTAAAATACAAATGGTTAGTTATTGCCTTGAAAGACTAAAGTACTAAGTGAATACTTCTTCACTCATTCTTACTTGGAACAGCTATCTTATGAGCATGAGGAGGTCCTGCTCCTGAGAACACTGAAGTACACATTCCATGCATGGGTGCTAGGAAGCAAGCTACTATCCTATGTGGCCTCATAAACACAGAAATGCTAGGGACAATTGGCAAGGCCTTGTTTAGTGGGAGAATAAATAAGTAAGAATCTAGAATTATTATGTCCTGTGCTATTAATGTGAGAAATTAATGAGAGCTCACCTTCTTTAGAGATAGCATAAATTTATACTCTAAAAAACAAGCAGGAACATTAAAACAAAACAAAAATAAACCAGTATTATTTATACTTACACTTGGGAATGTATTCATTTTCCACCCTGCTAGGGACTGAACTCAGGATCCCACACATGCTTGGCATGTAACCTACCAGTAAGCTCTAGCAATATGACCAGGCTTATTTTGGTACTTTTAAAAAATAGCCTTAAAATTTAAAGTAAGAGATATAAAAGTTACCAAAGCAAGACTGTGAAGCAACACTGCAGTTTTTTCTTCCTCTTTTCTTCCTTCCTTTTTTCTACTCTTCCTTTCTTTGCCTGCCCCTCCTCAGTGCCAAAAACATGTTAGAGAGATTCTGAAAATATTTCCAGCTCCATAGGATAGTAGGCTATATTTGGATATTTCTCTTTTATGATTTTTTTGGCCATCTTATCAAATGTAGTGACAGAAGGTTTCACTTTTGCCCTTACTGGAGTGTATTCAGAAAGATCAGAGCCAGGAAGTGAAAAGTGAATAAGGGAAAAAAACAATCATATCTGGGCTTGAAAATTAAAATTTAAAAGAAAATACAGTGAACAGATTTTTTTTGCCTGTATTATTTATTATATTGCTTTACATACATTGTATATGTCTCTTATTTGTAATATACCTTGCTTTTTTCAAATAAAATTATGTAAAAGCCTGAAGCTCCAGAATTATAAGTCATGAAAAGTCCTGCTCTCTTCATATTAAAATAACAAGGCTTCCCACCCCCACCCCAGTCTGCATCCAATGGAAGTTGGAAGGTGGAGGTCTGGGACAGCTGTACAGAGATCCTTTTGTGCTCTGGCCAAATGGTGAGGAATGGTTAGCCACACATTTACCCCACCCTCACCCCAGCCTGCATCCATCAGAAGGTGGAAGGTGGAGGTCTGGGACAGCCATGTAGAGATCCTTTCTCACTCTGGCCTGCCTCAAGCCAACTGGTGAGGAGTTTGCCACATGGGTGCCCCTGCAATATCACCCCCCTGCTCTCAGGCCTCCTGATTATGCCAGTTCTTGGATCCACTCTGAAAAGGCACAGGCAGTTATAAAGGTAATTTTTCGGAGTTCCAGAAGATAAAACAGAACTGAACAACTGCAATAAAGGCACATCAGATTTCCATAGTTGGTAAATTGGAGAGAGTACCACCTTCCATCAGAAATTTGAATATCTTCAGAAAAAGGGTAGAGGGAACCTGTAGTAGAACCTTGCAGAGTTCAACCCTGCAGGAGGTCAGGGAGCTCAATTTAGGCCTTGTAGCCCAAATTCAGCCTGAACCTCAGGGGTCAGGCAACAGCTAGCTGATACTAAAGGACTTAGTTCTGCACATGGCCGTGCACATTGTCTATTATGACAGCAGAGATATAGTCTGAAAGAGGTCCTTTAAATTCTTTTTCTTTTTTCTTTCTTTATTCCACTCTGCAAATTCTTTCTTTTTTCTGTCTTCTTCTTTCAACTCAATCTCTTGCTTCCCCATATTATTGTTCATTTCCCTTTCTGTTCCTGTGCCTGCCCTAACTTGGATTTCTTCTTTTATCATTTTTTCTTCATTCTTTACTTTCTTTTCTTCTCTTGTTTTTATTCACTCAATGGTCAATAGTTTCAAAGTAAAGTGAGCCCCTGTTACTATTAAATTGTTATATACTTGTCCTTATTCTTGCACCCTGTCTTTCATTCTCATCTTCAACAGTTTCCTAAAGTTTATGTGGTCATCCTGTGTCCTCTGACTTCACTAGAAACCTTCTCCAATTCTTCTGCCTATCTATTCCTCTCATCATAACTCTGTCTAAACCCTCATTCTAAAGGGAAAAGAAACTATTTTGAAGAGTTTATTTATTGTAAACATATTTTGGGCTACTCTTTGATTTTGATTTAACTCAGATGGTTTAAAGATGATAGATTAATGACTAGCACAATGGTCAATTTGTAAGTTGTGCTTGATCATATAGTGTTGCTGAGTGTATCAATTGGGCTAAAGGGTTGTGATTGATTTAATGAGTTCTCCTTTCTGATATTAAGAAAATATGAATGTCTATGAATCATTAGAGACTCAAAAGCTAAAGTTTAACTATATCAGGAAGATTTAATTAATAAACCAGGAATTAAATCAAGGACAACCCAACAACAAAAATAAAAATGAGGAAACACTTAAGCAAGACATAAAGAGAGACTTCCAGTTCACTAATGGCAAACTCCAGTGAAAATGAGTTTGAAAAGTCTGACAGTAAACCACGAGGACAACCCTGAACTAATAGCACAGGAAGTAACAAAACAGATCAAGCAGGATCTAGAAAAATTCAAAACAGAAACAATTTCCTACATAACTATAGATATGGTGAGGACAGTGAAAACTGACAAAATGAGCTCAGGACCATTACAGAAACCATGAAGGCCCAGCACAGGAAAGAAATGGAAACCATGAATGCCCAACATGGAAAGAAATTGAATCTATGAAACAGATTCAAACAGATATCCAAGACA